TGCTTTGCATTAAGTCTAAGACACTATCAAGGATGAGATACACTATTATTTCATGGAATGCTAAGGAACAAAAAGAAAGCTGTCAACAAAATTATAGCAATGCTTTCTTAAGACAAAACTTTTCCTTTCATACATATTGAAAGAATTCTTTTAGTGCAGTTTTGAGATATATCAAAGAGCCCAGGGTTTTGTTAGCACTTCTTATTTAACCAACTAATAGTCTCAATTTTTCTTCAATTGAATCACCTTGTCACAGAAAGTAAAGCAACTGCTGTTCAAACTGAGAAGGAAGTTTCTGATATTGGTGATTGACATGCAAATGATAGTTCTGCATGATGAATCGGTCACATCAACTCCTTTTTGTTTTGAAATGTCTTTTATGTCTTCAAAAAGATCAGGCAATTTCTCCTGCCTTTAGGTGAATTGCTTGCATGTGGTAATAATATTTCTCAGACTTTAATATGCATTTTTGTCACCAGGGCATTTTCTTAAAATGCAGATTCTGATTTTGTAAGTCTGGGATGGGGCCTGAAATTCTTCATTTCTAGCAAGTTCCTAGGTGATGCTGATGTTCCTGGTCCAGAGAGAGACCACACACAGCTTAGCAAGGTGACAGCCAAGTTTTTAATATATCTGCCACCACACCTTGCACAATTTATTCAACTTGTAAGTATTTTCCTTTCTTAAGACTCATCAAACATTTTACTAATTTGCAAGAAAATAAGAAATAGGCGTCAACCCTTCAACTATAAATATTAACCACACTGATAGTAAATACATGTCCCATTGTAGTTGTACCAAAAGGCTTTCTGTTATCAAAACTGAGGTTAATTAGCATTTGAGTGACACTGAATTATTCTTTGAATTTGGGCAGACTGACTCCATCCAGTCATTTAAGGCAGAGCATGGCAATTGGACAATGCACAGATTTTTATGTCTGACTTAATGTATGAAATCAAGGTCTTGAGTACAATATGAAATCTTAGTCATAGTTCATTTGGCCCAGATTTCACATTTAAACTAGTCCCAACAATTTAAACATTAAAAATTCAGTTATGTTGATCTAAAAAAAAAAAAGACTTATTGTGTGATTCCTTGAGATTCTGGTAGTATAATTTGCCTTTTCATACATTATGATTGGTTTACTCCTTCACTCCCACTGCCCTGAATAACCTGTGTATCATTTCTCCTTTTCTTCTGGGTGATGGTTCAAGTCAAATAGAAATTTATTGTCCCTATATTATTATTCACTTGGGCCTTTTAGTTCATGAGCATCTCTGATACAAGTATGTCAGTCTCCCACCGCCAAAAGGAAATGAGGGGAGAATTATATTTAGCATATTACAAAAGCATTTCATGGAACAGTATGTTCATTAACACAAGTTGGATATATGCATGAAATAATGCTGAGGAAATCATGTAAAATCTCCGTAACTACAGAAAATTAGATTTTCAGGACCTGATTTTTAACTCCCAAAACCATGGTGCATAACAAGATAGATATTCAATTAAGAAAAGCCCTCCCTCTAAAGCAATCTCTTTGAGATAGAAATGGATGTTTACAGTCCAAAAGCATGAGAATTTAAATAGAGAATTTACATTTGGAGGCTGGAAAGGACCATAGAAATCATCTTGTTGAAATCCCTTCATGTTCATAGGGTTGGGGTCTTTAAAGGTCTTTCCATCCTTACAATTCTAATTTTCTTTATAACCTTAACACTCTTTATTCATATGAAAATGTAAGATTTGTCAAACACTTGATTCACAATAAAACTTTTTTAAATATATATGTTTAACTTCACAAATATTTTAAGTTAAATATTCCCCATTTAGGGAAAGGAAATGAAAAGATCATTAGAGAAGGTTCTGCCTGCACCCTGTACCCCTATATAATAGAACACATTAAAGAATGCAACCAATGACCCAGGCTAGGAAGATATACATCCAATAATGTTACTACTCAAGGGTACTAAAAGTAACATTATTTCTTGTAACATCTACAGAATGAGAAATCAAAGACAAATTCCATTTTTATGTTAGGGTAATATATTTGTAAGGGTGAGGGAAATGCTTATAAAGGTGTGGCAAATATCCTCAAATTTTAAGCTACCTTTTTTTCTAAAACATAATTTAATTCTTTTTTTTAATATTTACATTTGCTGTAAAGAAAATAGAGGGTGATCCTTAAAGAACACTTCGTTGCAAACCCAGTTCTTTACAGGCATCTGACTACTATAAAAATCCTCCCAGGAAGTGGATCTAGCCACATTTTCCATCACCGAGTACTTTTGGTATTTCTTTCTTCAACCTTCCTCAAGCAGATAGTTATTGAGTGCAGCCTCTTTTCGGTCCCTGTTCTATTATTCTGGAATGTGCGACACCTGGAATTGTCAACCCAGGACCTCAGAAGTGTTACTGTGCCTCTAAAAAGGGTCTAATTTCTGGCAAAAGGAGCTTAGTTATTGAGGTCAGAAGGTGCCTGTTGGTGTTTCCCATTCTTTTAAGTTCATACAATGGATATCTATCTATAGGATGGATGGCCCATACAACAGATGGCTACAAATGTCCATAAATGTCCTTGGCCCTAAATAAACCCTGCTTTTCAGTTACTTATCTTCATGTCTAGCTGGAGCAGACTGGCAGATCTTTCTACTGAGTAGGCAAAAAAAACAGGACACAAAACCTTTACAATTCCTTTGCAAGAAGGATGAAAAGTCAGAAAATCACACTCCCACAATATTGGAGCTTTGGTGACCTCTTGTGGGGTAATTTATTAATCGCCCATAATAAAACAGTTCCAGAATGGAATCTGAGGCGTTTTCTTTGTAGGTCTAGTAAGTATACCAATGGGCCTGCTGAGACCCAATGGGCCTATTACAACCTAGAAATACTTATACTACATAAAGTTATCATAAAGTGTTTATAATTGCATCAGGTTATATATTCAACAGAGCTTATCTGCACATAAATACACATCAGGAGTGATGTAAATAAAGTATTAAATATATTAAGGCATCCTAGAATCTTCTGTCCATAGGATAGGAAGGGACCTTCCAACCACCCATCAAATATTTGGTAATCCTCTGTGAGGGGCCCAATCACAAGGGAGTTTGGGAAGAGATTATAGGTAAATCAAAGCTAAACCCTTAGGTATGGTATGTGTTCAATAAATGAATTTATAGAAAAAGTAAATACTAGTAACAAGAATTATCTTCCTACTCAATAGTTAACATTAATATCTTTAGGTCTATAACAAGTAATAAAATAAATCAGGACATCTTCCAGCTAGATTGCTTGTTGATAGGAAGGACAAATTTATTCATCTAGAAAGTGTCACACACACACACACACACACACACACACACACACACACACACACAGGATCCTAAGCTGATAAACCAGGGTTCTAGCTAGTAAAATAATCACTATAGCAATTATTTTGTCTTTTCTGATTAGCAAACACTTCCTATGGCAAATTCAAAGAATAAGTCAAATTTGGTTTTTCTGCCTGTTACTATTTAACCTATTTGTTACCTTTATAAAATAGCCACATTAAAAAACAATGACCATTAATAAAGATATTGATTTTCAGAATTTCAGAATTCTGCTTTACTTCTGAGTTTATTTTTTAGATTTCTGTTAATAAATTATTTTTCATGTTAGAGATTTTAATGTAACATAACCACATGGCAGGCAAGGAAGCATTATTGTTATTTTATTGTCCTAGTCTATATATTCTGCATCATTTGTATATATTTGTATGTTGTAATTTAGTGCCTAATAAAAAACACACAGAGATACCTGGTAAATATTGACCAGTATGAATGAATAATATTATATAAAAAATTTAACTAGATTTTCATTCAGAGAAATTTGTTTAAATTAGTTAGCTTGGGGGAAAATTTAATTTCAGTAAAATATGCATCTTGATTATTTGGTAAGAGTTTTTAACTAAGAGAATTTGTACCCACAGAAAAAGTAGACAGGAGAATAAGTAACCTTGCTAAAGACACCAGAAAATAATGAGTAGAAAAATAACCTCATGTTCAGTTCTGTAGCATTGGTGACCCTAGTTAACCTGTAAAAAGTAAAAAAATAACGATTACTATATATCATAGCATTATTACTACATTTTTTATTGATGCTTCTTTCACCAAACATTTGTAGATCTCTACTGTGCCCAAGGCAAATGTTGAACATAAAGATTTAACTCATCCCCCTTTTCCCTGCTAGTGATACTGAAAGTGGGCTCTGCCATCAATGTTGATGGCTGGCTAGATGTAGGCTATGCTGACAGAGGACACTGAGAGGGCTCTGCAAGTTTGAAAAGGGAGGCATGTTTTGTTCTGGTGGTGTTTTTCTCCTATGGTCCAGCAGGGGGGTCCTGCCTGTGTTTCTGTCAGCAGCAGTGCTTTGTGCTAGTGTGGCAACCACGCCCACTGCTTAGAAGTCTGAATCTCCCCCTCTGGGCACCCTTCTTGGGAGGTTCCTAGTTTCTTATTCACTTTTCCCTCAATTCTGCTGTTACTATCTCTGTATACCTTAGAGTTCTCTTTTACCAATTTTAGTAGCTAATATATCTTTTACATAGCTCACAATTATTTTCTCCATTCAAATTACTGGTGTGGTCGTTTCTGTCCCTGTCAAGACCCTGGATAACACAATAGTCAATAAAAATTTGAACCTTTAAAATTCTATAAAAATAAACACTAGACATCAGGTAAAACTCTCAGATTGCTAAAGTAAAATGTTCAATGACTGGTTAGAAGATAAAGTTGAGAAAATCTCCCAGAAAATGGAACAACCAGTTAAGAGATGGAAAATATAGGGGGTGAGGTTGAGGTGTGGAAAGGGGGAGAGTGAAAGGGATTGTAAGGTTGCCAGTTTCTTCATCCTAAAAAGTGGGGTGACAAGAGATGCAATATATAGTTAATCAGAAATAGAGGGGGAAATATATTATATAAACTTATAACCAAAAGATATTAACTACAGTAAATGTACTACTTATTTAGTGCTTTAAATATATTGACCTCTTCATAATAATCCTCTAAGGAATGGGCTATTACTGTCTCCATTTTACAGATTACAAAAAAAGTTCAGAGAGATTGAGTGTCTTGCCTAAGGTCACACAGCTAGTAAATGAGGAAGTGGGATTCCAGGGTGTGTGCTCTTGTTTATTACGCTCTGTTGCCTCCTATGTGACTTTATTGGGAAGAGATGGGTAAGGAAGGTAGGAGTGATGCAAATGAGTTAAATTGTATCTCTTAGCAGTAGACTAAGGCAATATTTCAGTGATGAATTAAGAAATAGTGATAAAAACAAAATTCAACTGAGTAAATTTTTTAAAGATCTAATTGACTTTATTAGGTGATTCATGAACTGGGCTATTAACAAAAGGAAAGAATGGATTATTTTTAGACCACAATATCATCTTTTTCTTGGGGGAAGGCAAGGTTTTTTGTGTTTGTTTTTTCTATCATGCAGATTGCTTCTTTTTTCTATGAGGGATGGAGAGGGTCCAAGTTCCTAATTACCTTACTGGTGCTTGATCAGAAAATCCCAGATTGTTTGTTCTAAAAAATATTAAAACAGCAGTTAGGTCAGGTATTAAAATCTAGATTTGTTATCATGGGCTTTGGCACAAGTGACACCATTTAGGGCCTGTAGGTCTGTGGTTTTGTCTTTAATAAAGGTAATCACCAGAAGAAACAAAAGCAGAAACTGTTTAAAGAAGGTTACTCTCTTACTCTCAGGAGCAGCACTTTGGGAAGGAAGTGGTGAACCAGGGACTTATCATCTTCCCCTACAAGTCTTTCTGTACTATTAATGTCTCACTTTAATAATAATTTATTCTAAACATTTAAAAAGACATAAAATTATAAATTATGCCAGGTTAGGAGAGAAAAAAAAATGGAATCATGACGCTAAATTATACACAAAAATCCTGTATTTTTAATTTTACATACTCATTATATAAAGATAATGTTATATGTGAAAACAAGGAAAGTCCCTTCTCATTTGTGGTAGAGATATCTGGCCTGCATCCCTCAGACACGTGTAGGCCTGGTCGTTACCCATAGCAGGGTTTGGGAAGCCCCTCTTCTCACACTTCACAAGAGAGATGAAGCTGATTCTCAAGCTAGTAAATGCATACCATTTGAACAATAAGATGAAAATTTAAGCATTAGCAGCCACAAAAGGCCTTACAACTCAGGAACAGCAATGAGCATCCGAAACATGCCTTTTGTTCAATCAGAGGGCCTCTCATCATAGACGACAGATGAGCTGTCTAGAGAGTAGTCTTTAAGGACAGGAAAGGGCTCTAGGTTCTTGTGCGTGCTCTATATAAACTCTGGTGGTACAGGCACCATTCTATGCCGTATTTATTAACCTAGAAACTGTATTTTTCAGTCCTGGGATTTAATGCATCTCACTCTGATGCAAAATAGAAACAAAATAATAAATTTTTATTTTTATTTATTATTCTCAGTGCATAAATTTTTGCTCTCAGAGAATATTATAAATTTGAACTAGTAGATTAAGCATCAGTAAATTAAATGGTTTAGATAACAAATGGGTACATAACACATTGTAATAATGAGGCCTTACATACCTTTGAACTGTGACATTCTAGGACCCATAATGATATATATTGATTTGCTGCCATCTAGTGCTCATTGCTGTAGAGATCTAGAATGAGCATAGTTGAAATGAAATTTTAAAAATTCTTTCCTTAGTCTCTGCAGCAGTCCTGGGTTTCTTTTGTGTTTTGTTTTGTTTTGTTATGGAGACTTCTGAGACTTAAATAAAAACATTTTCCTAATAAAATGGTATTCATGTAGACAACAAATTTATAAATAGCTTTATACACTGTGGAAAGTTCAGTGAACTCTGATCTAATCCATATCTATAGGTTTGAGGTATCTTAGTATGTCATCCCACAGAAAGTTTATCAGGAAGGCTTAACTATTTCAGTAAGTCATCTGCTAAATTTGAATGTGAAGGCAATTACTATTAACTCATAAAATTCCCGGCAACATGTATTAAGACTTGAAAGAGAAGACATTCCTCTTTATGCAGTATGTGAAAGAGATGGTCTGCAGAAAAATAATTTTTTCCCCAGAAAATCAGCTAAAAAGGCTGACCAAATTGCATCATTGAGCTTACTGAAAAGTAAAAGAAATTTCCAGGGACCCAAAAGGCAAGAGAGAACTTAAACAAGAAGTGATAAGCAGGGACTGAAGGCATTCCTACCCCTAGGGCATTTGCTAATACCCTAAATGTAGTCCTAGAACATAATGGCCTCCCAACATACAGGATATGAGTCCTTGTTCAGTGTGGGAACTAAGATCTTCACATCAAACTGGAACCTTCAAAAGACTACACCAGCAAAAGGATGCAAGGAGGCTTGACTATCTGGGCTAAAGTTTGGGAAGAGGAAAAAATATCTTCCCTCTGAATTATAAACATAGCTACTCTTACATGTGATTTTGGTTCAAATCTAAACTAACCTGATAGTTTGTACATGGGATTTAAGAAAGGAAAAAGGTCAAAGATTACTCCAAGATGTTTGGTGTCTGGCTTGAGTAGCTGGAAAAATAGAATGGTCACTATGTGACATAGAGAAAGCTTCAAGTGGGGTTTGTCTGAGGAGGCCAAGATTAGGAGTTCAGTGTCAGAAAAGCTGGGTTTGAGAGGCCTATTTGACTTCTAAGTGGAAATGTCTAGCATGCAGTTGAAGTGCAGTCTGAAGTTCAGGAAAGAAGAATGGGCTGGGGAGATACTTTGGGAATAGTCTATATGATAATGGGACAATAGAGACTGGAAGAGAGCACCAACCAAGTAAGTGTAGATAGAGAAGAGGTCCAAAAAGTTAGCTCTGGGATACTCCAATATCAAGAGGTCAAGGAGATTAGCAAAAACTAGCAAAGGAGATCTAGAAGGCTGAAAAGCTGGAATATGTGCAACCACCAGTTAGAAAATATAATAAGAGAAGTTACTTCATTCCAAATAGCACCAAAATTATATAACATATTGAGGAATAAATTTAATAATACTATGACAGAGTTATATGAAAGCTCTCAATTTTAAAAAACCCACCATAACACCTTTTGACATTTTTATTATAATTGATAAAGAAGCCCTGGAATAGAAATGCTGTAGAATGAAGCCATTCAAATGATTAAGACAGATACATATTACTGACATAAAAAAACCTTTTAGGATAGTAACACTTGATGAAGACAAAAAAAAAAAAAAAGGGGGGGAGACGAAAACTATAGTATGAAACTGTCCTTATAATTTGGTATGTTTAGTATATATTCATGAAAGAAAGTCTGGAAGAATGTATAAAAGATTCTTATCAGTGATTAACATATGGCAGGCTTTCAGTTTCTACTTTATAAACATCTGGATGATTGAATTTTTAGTCTGAGCACATATGAACATTATTAACAAAGTTAGAATTTAAATGAAATTTATATGGCATACATAATTGCATGGAAATAAAATTATAACATAATATTAATTCAAGAAAGCAAAAATAAACATCCTACATATGGTATGACCAATATTAGAATATGCATGAAAAAAAGACTGTAAAGTTCCCCAGAAAAGCTGATGGCGATTCTCTTTGGGTAGTGGTACTGAGTACTCTTCTCTTTTCTCCTGGTGTTATATCTCTCAAATTCTCTATAATGTGAGTATTCCTACTTTTATTATTCCTGTTTACCTTGAAAATTTTTAAGGATACAAAGAAAAAGTATAATAAAATACCAGGTATCTATCAATCAGCTTCAACCACCACCAAATTTTAGATATGCATGTGTCATCTTTCTACAATCTTTTTTTTGGGGGGGGGGGATATTTTAAAGCAAATCTCAGATATCTTGCCAATCTATTCTATGTATTTTAAAAAGTCTATTTTTACATCACCACAATACCATTATTTCGTCTGTTAAGAAATTAACGAAGATTCCTTAATATCTAATACATAGCGCATACTGAAAAATCTGTGCCTACAACATGTCTTTATATAGTTGGTTTGTGCAGAATGAGAATCAAAACAAGAACCGCTCGTTACATTCTGTTTTGCCTTCAGAATCCTACTCCAGCAGTGTTATGGGCTGAGTTGTACCCCCAAAATTCATATGTTGAAATCCCAACCCCCAGTACTTCAGAATGAGACAGTATTTGGAGATAATGTCCTTAAAGAGGTAATTAAGTTAAAATTAGGTCATTAGGGTGGGCCCTAATCCAGTATGGCTACTGTCCTTCTAAGAGGAGATTAGGACACAGACAAGTACAGAGGGAAGACTATGTGAAGACAGAGGGAGAAGGCAGGCACATAAGAGCCAAAGAGAGAGGCCTCAGAAGAGACCAACCCCGCTGACACCTTAATCTTGGACTTCTCTTACATGGTTTACAACAACAGCATCTTACCTCATATCCCTGTATCTAAATTTGCTTTCTTCCCATCCACTTTCCACACTGCAGCCGGAGTTTCTTGCTGAAATTAAAATTTGACCGGTTTACTCCATGATTAAAACCCCTCAATGGTACCCCATTAACCCGATAATACTGTCTGGCTCTCTTCATAACTTGCTTATCTATCTTGTCTTACTTTCTCCCAGCGTCCCTAGCCTTATTCTTGACTTTTTGTCATGCTGAATTTATTTCAGTTCTTAGATTATGTCACGCTTTCTTTTACTCAGCACTAAACCGCACCTTTTCTACCCAGAAACCCTTCCCGACCTGGACAACTCCATGTCTTTTTAAATGTCATTCCTGTTATGAAATATTCCCTACCTCCCACTCCAACTACATTTCTGCAAGCGACTATAAAGGTCTAGGCAAGAGATGATAACAGGTGTACATCTCAGCCAGTCTGATAAACTGGGGAATGTATTATTAAAATAATTCCCAAATCAGAATGTACCATCAGAGTTATAACCTCTCTTTGTAAAAGGAGGTATTTACATCTTCCCAAATCAGAATGTACCATCAGAGTTATAACCTCTTTGTAAAAGGAGGTACTTACATCACAGTTGTTAGGACAAATGAAAAACACATTAAACACCTATAATGCATAGCTCCTAGGAGGAGCTCAATACAGGGGTGGGAAAACATAGGTTTACAGTTGTAATATAATAAATAATACAAAAATAAACTGTTTCGTGTAATCACAACTGTAAACCTACTTTTGCCCACCCCTGTATATGTCATCTATACCCATTCACAAATGTTCATGAAGTAGCGCCAACTATTTGATAGATACTATTGTTGATGCTGGGGCTAAAAAAGTAAAGTACAATGCAAATAATGAAAATATTTTATAGAATGAGTATCCAAAGCTTAACAGGATATATGTATGTACACGTACACACACACACACACACACACACACACACACACACACAGCAGGAGTGTTTAGAGCAGCGGTTCTCAACCTGTGGGTTGCAACGCCTTTAGGGGTCGAACGACCCTTTCACAGGGGTCGCCTAAGACCATCGGAAAACACATATATAATTACATATTGTTTTTGTGATTATCACTATGCTTTAATTATGTTCAATTTGTAACAATGAAATTGGGGGTCACCACAACATGAGGAACTGTATTAAAGGGTCGTGGCATTAGGAAGGTTGAGAACCACTGGTTTAGAGGAATTAGTCAACCTAGTTAAGATTCAAAGGATGGACAACATTTGGGCTGAGATATGTAACAGTAGAAGTTTACAAGGAGGGATTTTCAGGGAGAGGGGACAAAGTGTGCAAGAATTAGGGTATGAAATGATATCAATTGTGGTGGTGCACAAAATTGCAATGAGGCAATGAGAAATGAAACTAGTCAGGCAGATGGACTAGGCAAAATAACTAGTTTTCTTCTAAGATCATGAAACATTTTCAGGAGAGTGGCATTATCAGATTTACATTCTTAGTGAAGTCATTCTGGTTAGTGATGTGGAGATGGAATTCCAGGGGTCAAAACTTGAGTCCGGACTACTAAAGAGGCCCTCTCACAATAATCCTTGGGAGATGCCCTGAAGGCTGGCTTTAGGCAGTGGGCATTGAGATGGAAAAGCTATACACGGGGTGTTATAAAGGTAGAATGGACATGATTTTGGTGTAAGATGTATTTAGGACGCTCAACAGGTAATTGACTACAATACTGGGGAGGATAGTGGCGGCTTAAACCACGATAGAAAACCCAGAAAGGTTTTGAGTGAAAAGAGAAACAGTTCGGTTTGAGACGCATTGGATTGGTAATTTCTGCCTTCTCACGGGACTTGGAGAAGCAAATGCGATATGCTCTGCAAGGTGTGACGATGCCAATGGAAATGGGAAAGGCTGGCCTCCAAAGAGATACGCTTAACGCTCCCACGGTGCAGCCGAAGCAACAGGTCATACTGCATGACGACTCCTGCAGAAAGCTGAGCGTGGGAGTGATTTGTCGGGTATTTTCCCAGCCAGGCTGACTCGGAACTAAAGATGGCGCCTATGGCAGAAATTAGAAAGTGGGAGGGGGCACTGGGAGTAGAAAAAGATGACGTGTTTGTTTTTGTTCTACTTCTAACACATACTGATAACTTAGCGCCAAACGATCGGTGGATAATTTTTGTCTTAACATCTGGTCTGCAGTGCAACTCTCCTTCCGCACGCTGGCCGGTGGGTGCGATCGCGCGGGGGCCTGGCGAGCCTGTTCCTTCCCCGCATTCAGGTTTCTCATCTTCCGCGGGGTCCACGACAGCCTCGCCGGCTCGCTTGACCCCGTCCCGCTGTTCCCAGCGCTGGCTACAGTTCTGAGCTGCAGAGGTGCTTTTTTTGGGGGTGAGTGCAGGCTCTCGGGGGCGCCGGCGCATTCCCGGGGTCCCGCGATCGCGCGGGGGCCTGGCGAGCCTGTTCCTTCCCCGCATTCAGGTTTCTCATCTTCCGCGGGGTCCACGACAGCCTCGCCGGCTCGCTTGACCCCGTCCCGCTGTTCCCAGCGCTGGCTACAGTTCTGAGCTGCAGAGGTGCTTTTTTTGGGGGTGAGTGCAGGCTCTCGGGGGCGCCGGCGCATTCCCGGGGTCCCTTTCCGCTCCAGCGGTTGCGCATACTT